TTACTGTGCAGGAATACCAGCTTCGGTTTTTGTTTCTTTAGTCTTGGAAATTTAATAGAATAAACCATTGAACTTTTTTGCAATAAGTAAATCAACAGAAAAGTAAAATAACATCGGCTTCGTTGACATCTTTCAATGGTTTCTCCCAAAGATAAGATTATAATGGAAAGTACCTTTGTTATTCAAATTCTAACTAAACATATGGAAGTAAAAGATGATTGTTTCATTTTGTTTACTACAGTTTTGAATATTTAATTCCAAGGATAACGGCCGCCTGATAGTATTAACGAACTTGGAGGATTAGTTAACAACAAACTGAACAGTTAAATCGTGAAAAATGAAAAATAGTTATACATCTGAGTTTTAAGGAAGATTATGCTGAATGGAGATGTGCAATATATATCACAGCCACAGTAATTATTTACCGTGGCTACAAACTGATGACTGGGTTAAATTTTATTTTGTGTCTTTTGAAATGTTTACATGTTCAACTTTCTTAATATTATTTTCTATGGCACCATGTAGGTATCTGACTATTTTAATTCTGGTCTTATAGACTTAATTATTTAGCCCAAATAAGTAAATTTAAAAAAGCGTTAGGGATGTATAAATTACCTAAAGTAAATTTAAAATGAGACAACCTCTACTTTTATTACTTGCGCGGCTTTAAACATCTGTGTGGGCTTTTTTTATCAACTGATTTGAGAATAGAATGATTTTTGCGTTGGCAAACTTGGCGACGTTATATAAGCATGCATCCCTCAATAGTAGGCCGGGAGACAATCGCATGATATTTTTAGCAGCAAACAGAAGTCCACTTTTATGAAATACGGTGGACTAATCAGGTTCTTTTTCTTTTGTCTAAATAACCAAGGAATTTTCGTTTTGTAATTGTATATTTATATGGTTTTGACTTAGGTTGACTTCAGCATTTTTAGAAATAAACCGGTCACTTGACCTGAAATTGGTTGTTAACAGGGAAAGATCCTTTAAGAGAACCTCTTGACTATACCTTTAGACCCCTACTCTCGTCAACTGTTATTTCCAAGTATTCTTTCGCCCCCCCCCCCGCCCTCTATCAAATAAAATGATTGCTATTCAGCCAAAAAATTCACGGTTTTTTAGAGTCCAATTTTCCCTCGGAAAGTTCTGATTAGAATTCTCAAGTCTCGGCTGCTTATGGCAGAGCTTCTCCCACTTTCTTTGTGTCTTTGTAGTATGTCCGCGCGTCCTCTCATGACTGAGATGGTCCTATTTTGCAGGTAACACTGTGGCATTTTGGGAAAGATTAACAATTTACTAATATTTCTAATGAGTAAGGAGTAAAGAACAACTCGGAGAGCCTTGAAACGAGTCAAACTAGGAGCAAAATAACCAGCTGAGACAAACATTTCCCTCTAAAGTTTCTCGTTCACTTTCCTTGCGTTCCGCTGAACACAAACATAGGCGCATGCGTACACTTAAATGAATTTTTATTGATGAGTCAATTGTCAACAAGCCTGATTTCGATATGAAATGTCCGGTTAAGCTGATCAAAAATGAGAAAGTTGGGCAAACAATAATAACTGAATTCTGTGTCAACTTCTTCGTTAGGAGAGGAAGTGCAACAAAATATGTGAATATTTCCACGGCCTCCCAAAGTCTTCACGCAAATAAAAAAAGAAAATTCACGATTCTCAATCAGCTTTTTATTTATTTATTTATTTCGAGGTACTTAATTTTGCGATTCTGAGGAGATAATATTTGACGGGGTTTTATTTTCGCGATTTCGAAAGGCAAATATTTAATAGGGACATTGAATTTCACGACTCAAGCGCTCTCAATTTCATTTAAATTTTCAATCTGTCAATTTTTGACGGCCGCACGAGATATATCCTAAGAAATTTGTGCGAATTAAGAGAGCGATAAAGATGAAGATGAGCGCTGGATTCTCTGCACCATATGCTAAATCCTTGCAAATGAACGTCATTTCACAATGGAAGATAAAAAATAGAAGTTACCAGTACATAAGACCAGTTAATGATTTGTGTATTTGTTAACACATATCCTCTAGATTTTGTTGTTATTAAATGTTGATCACTTTTTTCTGTGATTTGAATTTTTTATAGGGAAATAATTAAATTGCGAGCGTTTAGATTCCGCGCGGGTTTTTATGCGCAGATCTTAAATTATGACAAATGGTGCTCGGGTGCTTATTTTCTTCAATATGGATTTAGATGATGTAGCCTAATAACAATTTTCAGCAAATTTACTGGGACAAAAGGACTAATAAACAGGGGTTAAAATACAGACGAGCACGTGAATACACAGAAGCACAAAAGAATAATATATAACATTGTTAACAGGCTTTTTCACTGTGTTATCTTTGAATTCGCTCTCGTCAAGGTTAAAACGTTTTTTGTCGTCATTAAGGTCACTTAGTTCATTCCCTTTTTTTTCTCGTCAACTTTATTTATTTAATCATTATTTATACGCGGTAAAAAACATTCATCAGGTACAAAAAATTCCAATACAATGACTAATATCCTAAGAACCTAAAAATCCTAATCCTAACATTATATGAACTTACAACAATGTTCCACTTAAAAACCTGATTTCCATGAATGTCGTGTTTAAAATTATGATAGGGAAGGGCTTTAAATTAGTTTAATGAACCAGACTCTCTAATGTTACAGGGTAAGCTATTCCAAAGGGTTGCACCGCTATGACTAAAACTGTTTTTCATGTTGTTAGTTCTTGGAAAGAGGACAACAAGTTTGTTTACTGAGCCTGTTTTTAATATAATATTAATGTTTCTTTAATATAACTTACAATTACATTACAGGTAAGTCTTGCATGTGAACATTGCTTAACTTAAGACACCCGCGTCTTGCAATGAATTTTTGGTTTACAAAGTTGAAGGTATAAATTTTTTGATTCACAGATCAGGATGAAGTATTGGCGGGTGTTAAAACTTCCTTTCCAAAATAAGAATGAGACATTTGAAATGCTAATTATTAAGCAAAGAGGAAATGACTAGAGGGCTAGAGTCTGACTTCATTTTGTGAAAGATTTTCTCCTCTAAAAAAATAACTTACGTTATTATTTTGCCACAACTAGTGCGAACACTGTTTTTATTTTTATCTTTTTTTTCCAGTTCAGATTTGTTAATCACGCTGAGAAACTCTTCTTCAGAGGCTACGTGAGATAAATATATGTCGAGCCTCCACTTTAGCAACTTACGTATAACCTCACCAGCTTGAAACATCTGTTAGGGTTTTATTGATGTATACGTGAATAAAATATTTGTTGTGTTGGTAAGTGCGACTGCAGCATAAAACATTCTAGCGGAGAAATGAAACAAACACTATTCAGGTAATCTCGTAGCTTTTTTGTGTTATAACTGGTGATCAAATTAATTTAAGTAGAGTCTTATGCTACACTGCCGGAGAAAAATAAAAGGAAAAAATCAAGAGGATAAGAGAACATAACGCTTTGTGTTGTTATATTTCTGAGTAACTGACTTCTTAATAAAGTTGTGACGACGACGAATTTTTGTTTTATTTGCCGACGCAACGTTTTCATAAATAACACTGTATGGAATGTTACTAGAATTGAGGTAGGTGTGACACAATGATAAAATAGCAGTCAATGGAAATATGCCGGATGTTGCTATAAGTCTCTTAATTATAAGAAATGTTCGGAAACAGCGTTAAAAATTTGAACGAAACAATTTTTATTGCAGGAATATTAACTAACCTGCACGTTCCATTTTAAGTTACGTAAAATAGTAAAATAGAGTAAACATTCTGCGTTTGATAGAGCCACAGCGGCCGGGGCAACGCTTAGTCGTTAAGGCATAAATATTGTGGTTCAATTACAAGACAAAAAAAATAAGGTCGAAGCCGATGATGATACTGAATCGCAACGTATACAACGTATAGATATGCTGAGGTGCCGAGTAGAGGCTTACATATAAAATAGCTTTGAATTTATTTTAACACTCATTTGCTTTTCTTCCTAGGAAAGATGTCTAACATGTGGACTTTCATTTTTGTTTTGGGTAAGTCGGTTGCGCTTGTGTAAGACATGTAGTTTTCACGAGCGAGCATGAGACACACTACAGTAGTTTTGGTAGTGAGAAAATTTATGAGGAAGTTTTAAGGCAAAGATTATTCTGTTTTACCGAGGTTAAGGTTGGATCAATTCTACTGGCAGAATGGTAAAAAATTAGCTCTGTTGGAGGCGAGTATTCTGTCAGAAAGTTCACTGAAAAATACGGGCAGAACTAAGGGAAATCAGTAACATTATTTATACGCAGAACAGTTGTAGGAAGGTTCAGTGAAATTCATTGGCTCTAAATACAAATCTTATATTGTGTACCTTGATAATTTCTCATTTTTTTACGGTGTTATTGCCTTTTAGCTGCTTATCTATTTTGATTATTACGACTGAGCAAAATAATGATATTGTGTTAGGTTTCAGGAATTTATATGCTCCATAAATTAGTTATAAAGGCGAAGGTTACCATCCATATTTATGAAAATACGTACTTTCCGAAGAGTTTTGGTAAATTTTCAAGTAAACTATGCAATTTTACGACGAGTATTGCAGTCTATTATTCGAACGTAAGCTATCCAAGCACAACCAAGGGCCATTCATAACAGTCCTTAGCAAGAACATTGTTTTTTGCGAAGATTATGTGTGAAATCCATGCTTACCACATAGATGACCAGTGACATTTGACTCAAGTGGCACAGCATGAATCAGTTCTTAAATTACTAACTTGAAGGGTTGATATGCTCACTGATTTATGAATAATATATCCTCTTCATATTTCAAGTGTGCCAGAAAAGTACAGGGAAAATTTTCTTATGAAGCTAACCTCAAAGTTTATCATATTTATTAATGAGTTTACATTGTCGTTTAATCACACGATAACGGAGGCTTAAAAAAATGAGGTAGACAGTCATTAATGAACTAACTGTGCAAAGTATGTATAGTTATTCCCCTGTGAAATTATGTTCTTTGTTACAGTTGCAATAATCGCGGAAGTATACTCCCGATATATCCCAGACTTTCACACAACCCAGCGTCTTCAAGTAGAAAAAGGGCAATATGTGGAAATAGAATTGGAGCTATTGATGGACCCTGACTTACCTGGAGCACCTTGTGCTGATGAGGAATATCTTGAGATCCGTGATGGGTATAATCAGTCTGGAAATCTTTTGGGTGTATTTTGTGGAAGATACATTCGTGACGTTACTGTACGATCCAGTGGACATAACGTGTGGTTAAGATTTTCACCTCACCGTAGACACCAGCAATGGAGCAGTTATGAGGGAAAAGTACTAAATGCAACAGGTGAGTATTTTTAGGTTCAAATGTTTTGATTTTCTTATCGGTATAATTTATTCTGGATGATGTGTCTTATTATTTTTTTCTAAGTGGGCACGGTAACGAATCCTGCAATCTAATTGGTTCTTAGCGCTGTCCGTATTTTCCTACCTCTGCCCACGGGCACGGTAACGCTTCCGTCAGTCGCTGAGTACATCCCCACCTTCGCTGCCATTATTCATAAATTTATCTCGTTTTTCCGTCTGAGAGGAATTTTTACGCAAAGACGTCGGTTACTACCTCAAGCCGATGAATAACTCATTAATCATCACTTTTCACTCTCTCAAATCACTTTGGTTGACAGAAAAAAATTGGTTTCGAAATGAATTTGTATATGCAAGAGTGTCATTAAATTGGTTGATAAGCGGCCTAAAAACCGTCTTTAATTAATTTTAATCCTTCACAAAAAGAACCCAGAAAGTTAAAACGTGAGGTATTTGGTTTCGATTGAATTAATCGATGGAACTTTTATTCATTTAATATCTGAATTCTCTCAAACAATTTGTTCGTAGTGAAAGGGCGAGCGAAATTTTCAATTCTATAACAAATACGCTCTTGGTGAGTCTTTCCAAGTCAATTCAATTTGGATATTTGTACCGTATATCGCACAACAGAAACTGAAGTAATTCAACGAGAAAAAGCCGCATTCAACCCCCTTGTGTCTAGTTGAAGTGTCTTATTCGAATTAAGTTTTTATGAAGAAAAGACCAGATTTACACACGCCACAGCAGCAATTGCAGCAAGCAAACGGGCAAACTCTCACAACTTCAGAATAAAAAATTTAAATTTACTCACAATTACTCTCCTTGCCATTTACTTACTGAACAGAGATAAATATTCGTACAGTAATTAATCATCGATAAGAGTGAAAAATACTTTCCGTAAGATCATTGACAGTTTTTGAAGAAAACATTGTCGTGACAGTCCTTGCCAAACTAGTTCCGTTGGTGTTTCAAAGGTGCAAATGCGCTTTTTTTACTTACGCGCTCTCTAATTGACGGGAGTCAGATTGTGACAGATGCTTGTAAAAATAACGTTTCAAAGTTTGTTGGAAGCCTTTTAAATGACCTTTATCATTACGCAAATGAAAATGTTACGTGAAGCTTCTCTCTTTAATTTGTATCACCTCTATTTTAACTACCATTTACTCGCTCAGAAATTGTTCAGTTTATGAAGATCTTGCTGTAAATAAAACCCTATATCATTGGGGTTCTTTTGGAAAGAACTTCGTTAAGTTTTCGGAAAAAGATAAAAATATTATTCACTAGCCTAAGCTGAGTACCGCCCTTGGCCTACTGTCTCAGGCGGTACTCCAGACCTCGGGCACAGTTTATCCCAATACGAACCTCCCGGCTGGCGAATAACATATATTCATGTTTGTGCTTAGTTCCCACCGACCTAGAAAACGTTGCAAAGACTCAGTTTGTCCTGCTCAACCATTTGTCATCTCTGTGGTGCCCGGCGAAAGGTGGACCAGCTCCTCACATTGTTTGGAGAAAGAATGACGCTGTTGTGCAAAACAGCACTAGTGTGCGACTTCAAATTAATGTCACCGAAGAAGAAAGAAATACAAATTACAGTTGCGAAGTGGACGACCATGGCCAGTTGAAGAGGAAAAACATCAGTCTTGTTGTCGAGAGTAAGTCTCAAGTTACTTCTTTACTTCAAGGGGATCTCAGTTGTTGTGTGTGCTTTTGGTAAACCTTACTCTTTGTCTTGAGTCAATTTTAGGATTTTTGGTTTTAGAATAAAACTTCTACAATGTTATTCAAGGGTAACCTGAAAGTCATATTTATGAAGTGAAACGCAAAATAACTAAGCATCTATTTTTCAAATTATTAAAAGGTTAGTTTTCATGCTTTTGCTTTAAAAAAATTGTTAACTGACTCGATGGACCGCTGCCCAAGAAAAAGCGCCACGTAAAAGAGCAAGGATATTGAAAAGCGCTGCATCTAATAGAGTGGCGTTCATTCAATGTACCATAACAAAGAGACGACTTGTTTACAAGAATTGCGTCTTTTTAATAGCCACTGTTTTGTCTTTCAACAAACAACATGGATTTTCTTGTCTAAGGTACCATCTTGTCACAAATAGATTACGCTCGCCTTGCTCTAAGCAGATTATTTATTGAATACATTCTGGTGCAGTGTTTTACTCACAAACATTGTGAAAGAAGTCTTGGGAAACGAAGATGTAGCAGCCGTTGCATCTAACTTAGCAGCCAAAGAAAGAATAGAAAGAGCCTCGTGTTTGAAATTGTACTGGAAGTCAGATATGCAATCTGTTACCATTATGAGGGGGACTGGTAAACCAATTAGAAAGAACTCCATAGTGCGGTTTTGTTAAAGAAATATATCATGTCTTAATCTTTCTCCACGTTAGAGAGAGAATCAAACCAGGTGTCAAATGATGTATTCCTCATATTTTGTTACTGTTTAGTTTTCATCGATTTCTGACCATTATTAATTGATTTATATCAATTTAAAAAAGGAAAAAAATTGAATTGTTGTATATAAATCTTTTTTCATCAGTTGATCACGCTGAGAAACTTATCTAAATAACATCAAAAATGGCGAACTGATTTCCCTTTCTCACGTGACAAAGCGTGTTGAAAATAATACTGTCTGCAATCGATCTGCATTTAACAACTTTTGCTGTGATGCCATCAAAAACTGTGCTGTTCAAACTATTGAATAATCGCAAAATCGTTCAGAATGGATAAATAAACAACTAGCAAAAGTCGCAAGTGACGTCAGTGCGGTTTTCCCCTGAGCTCAATTGTAGCGACCAGAAAGTGATGCAAACACCTGCTGTCAATTTTCATTTGAAAAGTGATTAGTTGACGGTACCATTGCTAACCTAAAGGCATTTTCCATTACTTTGACCACGCGAGAGGCAATGCACGCAATAAAATCAGTGTATAGAAAAGTGAGAGCTGTTTTTCGGTTAGGATAGCCATCTTTAAGTCGTTTGCCGTATACGTCACATAAGGAAATAGAGGATTAGTAGGTCGGTCTATTTGAATCTATTTGAAATTGAGAATTTAAGGGCCGGGTCGCACTAGAGCGAATTCAAATATTTGCCAATTTTTTGCGAACCAAACATTGGCAAAAATTTTTGCAATTTTCAATTTTTGGAGGCGGTCGCATCAAACCAGTATTCTTTGATCAAAACTTGATTGATTGACACATTCGTTAATCACGAACCCATCTCCCTGAACGAAAGCATAAAGAAAAAATTCTCGCTCGAATTACTGGGCAAGAATGGATCGTCATCGAATGATTATCTTCGCAGCTTTCTTTCTCTGCAAAACAACGTTGCGTTTTTTATCTTGGTGGTACATTATCAGCGGGCTTCTATGCGGCTAGTATCAGCTCTTAGACGTAGAAGACGAAGACTTCTATTAAATAGAGCTCGCTTCCAAAACCGTCCTTAGTCGAGGTCTCTGCGTACGGTGGAGTCATGGTTCGAGCTTGGGACCATGTATCGTATTTCGCTTTCTTTTTTCCTGTCGATCGTTTTGGTTGCAGCTTGCACCACTTGTGCTGGCTTCGATGATTCCATTGAAAGGAGAATTAAAGCCGATTGTTCTCCAGATTGCCGCCAGTGACCGGGCCCTGGGTACGAGTCAGACATTCAAATAAAAACGTCGCTCAATTTCCTCGTTTCCTTCAAACGAAAACTGAGGGTCAGATGTCCTGCCATCGCGCGTGCCAGACTACACCAGCGGACCAGTGTATATTTCCCGCTTAAATTTTATCTAGACATGTCTTGCGTACAATGACAGCTTAATGGTTAAAAAACAAGATTGTTCGGTGTGCTAAAAATTGGAAGCCTGCAAGGCAGGACATCGGCTTCTTTGAAGATTGGCGAAATTTTGGCGATCCGCAAAAAGTTGGCAAGGTTTTAAAATTGGGGGTAGCACTTATTTTACACTACTTGTTGAAAGATTTTTTGCTTAAACAAACAAAAAAGCTCTAATGCGACCCTGGCCGTAGTAGGCTCGGTCTATTTGAATCTAAGTCGTAAACATGAAAAAATTTAACAAAATTTACACTGGACTGACTTTGCTACTCTCCTTATCTTCGAACAGATCAAACGGAAAATACCAAAGAACAACAAATCCCAATAATTAAGTATTTTAGATCATTTTCATACATGGCGGATAAAAATCATGCTCGTGATTATAATGAGCTGTTTTGCACCAACGGCTGAATAGAAATAAAAAATGTGATGTGAAATATGTCGTCATTTCGACGAGAGAGCATTTTAGTTTTGGATGATTTTGAAAAATGCTTAGCTAAACAGATGGTATACTTTGTAACGTGCCATCATCAATTTGATTCGAACAAACAGATATGATTCAAATATCAATTTTTAATGGAAGCCTGTTTTTGTTTGTCAGAGTGCCCTCAACAGTGCCAATGCAAAGTCCTTAAAGGTAACATGAAGAACTTAGTATCGGCCGACTGTGGAACGAAACAGCTTAAGTCAATTCCAGAGAAAATTCCCCGAGCTACAGGAAAACTGTAAGTTCTTAATACATCATATAAGTTTAGGTAACGACATGATTTCGAGTGCAATTTGATGTTAATAAATACTAAAAATTTTCAAAGACAACAAAATTGCACGAGTCCGTCTTTGACAGATTTACAAGTGCGCTTATTTACACCAAATTGCACTCGAAATCATGTCGTTACTTGTTAGTCTTGTTAATGACTTACATATGAAAAACTCACCACAGAAGTACGTCAAGAAGGACGAAATTTTGGCAGCGTCAATAAGAATTTATATGAAAAATGCAATCGTTTTCAGCCAATCAGACATGCGTAATTTTTTCATGTAAACGATTAAGCCTCAAATTTGGCCTTTGTTCGAATTTGGAAGTGGCACAATGATTGCCTAAAGTACGAGAAGGTTATACTAAAGACAAAATAATTTTATGGTCGTTTGTAATTTTATAAGAAATTTCATAAGAAATAACAAGAATTACATGCCATAACTGTTCAACCAGATGCGTCGGGTGATCAGTTTCCCTTTCTATCTGCATTCAGAGTGTTGAAATGGACGAAGAGCCAACTGATTTACCTTAGAATGTAAAAAAAACCAGTGAAAGCATATTCAATGTATTTGAAAATGTTGTACAGGTTAATTTCAGTCAGATTTACGCTGGAGTTTAAGATATTGTTTTACTTTCGATCAAGACTTTCTCTACCGGTTTCTTTTTTTGAACACTCATTCGGTAAACACAGATGACGGTTTTTCTACTAGCTGCTGATTGTCCTTTCACAATTTGAGTTAAAACTGACTTTCTTTTTTGTTGCAGCACGCTCTCAAACAACAAATTGAAGCACTTGCCGAAGGAAGTTTTTAGCAGAAATTCTAATCTAATAAAACTGTAAGTCATATTGACTTTGTCGACTTCTTTTTTATTTTGATATATTGAAGATTAACAGATGGAAAATAATGTTTCATTCAGTGAGGTTCTTCGGGCGCGTTTCGCAAATCAAATTGCATGAATTTCGCAAATTAGCTAAATTCATGCATTTTGATTTACAAAATTTATTTTAAAAATTATTATGTTCGCTATTCCACGTAAAGATCCACATTGAGCTTGATCATGAAAATATTAAGTTAGACCTTACAGCCCACCTGCAAATGTTAAGTTGGTGAAAGGACAACAAAAACAACAACATCAGCAACTACAACCTGACAAAGAAAACCCGTTGAATCTAGTAACGAAATCAGTGTCAATCTATTATTTCTCTTGGACATAACCGAAGTATTTCCAGAGATAACCTCCATGTGATATGTAATTTCTGAGTGATGAGTAAACTTTGATAAGGTATCTATGTCGGACCATCAATATCAGAGTATTTATTCTTTTGCTCGATTCGAACGTAGAACATAAACACTGACTGGCGAAATGACCCTCACATGGGAAATAGATCATCCATAATAAACTTGGAAAAAATTCGTCCATCTTTACTACATTTTTAAAGCTCTCTTCCGGCTCTGTAAAACTTTTAGGTGAAAAAAACTTAATGCCTTAAATAAAGCAGCTTGGAAAGTTACACGGCGAGATAAGTAAAAGAAAACGATATTGAGATCAGCTGAAAATTTGGACTTCAGTAAATTTCTTAAGTTCATTATTTCATATCGTACTCAAAGAACACTTACCATTGCAGTGTAAAAATACTCGAACTAAACAGAGAATCGTCGATATATCTTAGATCAGCTTTATACAAAGTGCTCTGCATGAGAAGCATATCAGTTTATTGCTAAGAGCCAAGTAGTAGATCGGACCCAGTTTAAGCCTTCGGAGCTAACCTCTATATTCATGGGAAAGAAGTCATTTAGAGCTGTTACACAAAGTGAGACAGAATTACTTCTGAGCGCAGCATTGAAATTACTATAAGAATATGAACACTTGCTTCTAATCCTTGCTGTGGAGGAAAAATTGATGTTACATGTATTTACTATCCTCTAAGATAGCCAAAAAAACATTTCGGGTGTTTCCGTGAGCATCATTACCATTGCATATTTATTTTTTTTTATTTGCTGGTTTTGGTAAACAACAAAAGTGTTGGTCAAATTAAGCTCTAGTATTTTCGAAAATTATCTTTAGTATATAATTAATCTTTTCAAGTGTACACGCTCCCTTTGATCGAGGCCAAGTGAAAGAAAATCGTTTTTGGTCA